GACGAACTAGATCAATGAGATGATCTTTGGCAGATATCATACGAAACAGACTTGTGCCTGAATCTTGTTTCAATAAGTTTTCACAATAACTTAAGACTGGATTCTTTCCAAATTGCGGATCATATGAATCAAAACCATGATCAACAAGTTTATTCTTGCGGTCACATAACGCATGTTGTCGCTCATAAACTCTAATGAATGATTCATCTAATCCTTCATCATCATCATCGGTTTCACTACTGGTATTTTCTTCAGAACGAAAAATGTCGCTGTTGGTGGAATGTGAAAATTTCATCTTAAAATGAAAACGTGATAAAAGATCTTGTCCAATAAACTGAGATTGATGTCGATTGGTCAAATACGTTCGATCAACACTGTGATCAAAGTCAACAATTGGCTCATGTTTCTTTTTGTCGTTTTGTTTGACGCGATAGAGAGAACCATAACAGTTTCTATTATAAAATACGTCTGCTAAGACTCTTTCCATTTGTACTTCACATACTTCTTGAGTATTCTTATCATATCGAACGATGTATGTTGTTGAATCTTTTCCATGTCCTAATAAGAAGAAAGCATAAACGGCCGCTACTCGACAACATCCATCGATATTTCGATAGAAAAATTGCGAATCAGTAAAAGAAAATAGAGTTCGACTACCATATTGAGTATCGATTGTCGGAAGATATTTTGAGCGAGATGGATCGAGCACAAATTTTCTTGTTTCTTGAGATTCCCAAACGACTTTCAATAGTTGAAATTGTGGAAAAGCAAATATTAAACTTTGAATATCTTGTTCATGTAAAAGTTTTAAAACTCGAAGCCAAAGTTCTGTTGGTAGTTGATCAGTCAATGACTTTTGGTTATTTTTATCAACAATTGAATGTTTCAATTTTGATTGAAGTAAACGAGGATAACAATATCGAATCGATAATGAACGTTCATACAATTCACCGGTGGCAATGTTTTTCACAGACATATCGGAACTTTCACCGATTTTCAATTCCATCTGTTGTGCTTCGCGAAAAAAATTCAAACAAGCGAGATAATCTTCTTTCTCTTCTGGACAAATGGTAAATCCTAACGGCTTATGTTTTCGTTTAACCAATACATCAGTTCTCAACACTAGACGTTCTGTTTGATGAAGAGGATCGATCATTTCAGGTGGTGTTGCTTCATGAATGAGATGATGTGTAAAAAGAACAGCGAAACCTTTCTTAGGTTTTAATTCGGTACAGTCAAAACCATTGACTAATCCACCGTAACTATTGATTTCTTCGGTCATTGTCAATCCTTTCACATCAGCGTTCGGTGATTGTTTAGGAAAATAAAATTTTGTTTCTCCTTCTTCATAATTATCATTCAAATAAATTAATAAACTCAGAAGTGATCGTTCATCACCACTGGGCGCATATTGAGCATCTCTATGAGGTGAAAAATAATCTCCATCTTTATATTTATTCAATCTCATTGCTGGATTCACACCACTCATCACCCATTCGCCTTGCACATTGAAACCTAATGGTGTTGAGTTTTGAACTAATTTCGTTAATTTATTACTAAATTTTAAACGTCGCCAAAGCGTTCGCGCTAATTGATCATCCATGACAATTAATCGTGAACTATTTCGTTTCCGAATATCATACTTATCAGACATATTTTCAAATGTTTCTTCATTGATTTTAGTAAGAATTTCATCGCATTCATTAGAAGTAAGCAAAGTACCTAATTCAATTAAGATCAAATCATCCTGCTGTTTTATTTTGTTCAATTTGATTCCATCAGAGATTTTTGTTGGCACATTGTAACTTGATAACAATGAAGTGACGATGCTCAAATCTGTACTTCCCAAAAACCGGTGTCGATCCATCTAAATCACAAAAACAATTCGAATTTCTTCCGTGGGGGTGAGAGTGTGTTGAAATACTGATAGCCTTTATAAATCTCCTCTAAATAAGTAAATTCCTAAAAAAATAAGTTCGGGTAGTCCCTCATATAATACCACCTAAACGTTTTTCAGCTCCTTTCATATTATCTTCACTCCCCCCAGAGATATCACTATTCTGATATTTAGCTTTTGATTTCAGATGATCATTTACTTTCTTCCACAGTTGTTCATAGTGCTCAGTATCCCTGTTGCTTGATGATTGTTCATCTTCTGTTGTTTTCAATTTTTTTGCCGACCTTCTTGAACGTATTGGTGCCATCGTTTTTCAGTTATTTGTGTTAAGGAAAAAGATGTTGTAAAAAATATGTGTAGTTACAAATAAGCAGACAAAGAGGAATATATATATATATATATAGAATTGATAAGCATTTCACCTGTCTTGTGCAATTTCTTTTCCGTTACCTTTTTTTACTTATATATACGAGAATTAGTCATCATTACCGTTCTTCAGAAAACGTGAAAGATAATTCAACAATCGAGAGACAAATGACATGATGCAGTTACTGTCGGTTGTGCAAATAAATAATTCAGAAATCTCAAATGTGTTCGTACTGAGAAACTCACAGACACATGTCTGCAGTTTTATGTTTTTATGACACACATTCAGTTCATAAACAAATAGAAGTGACTATGTACACACATGTACACATAGCTAATCGGTTATGAACATATACCCAGGTCTATCACGTCCGACCGTAAAGGGCCGTATACCGATCAATTAAATCGGAAAACGACAGTAGTGTACTTTGGCCGTTTACAGCTGCCGTATACGATGTTTTACGATCAGCGTATACAGTGACCCTACAGTGGAGATTGATACCGACTTAGGAATTTTCTTACTCATTGTCTGCTACCTGTCTGTTTATTGATGTTGATCCTTAAAACAAAGAGAAGTGATACTTAGTTGTCGATCAATGGTGCTTTTGCGATTTTCATGCCTCTCCCATTTTGTCTTTTGTTTCATCATTCTCATGTACATTTAATGTGAGAAGCTAGTAGTCGCGCATTAGTGTGGTTCAGTGATGAATTTATTCGTCTGCAAAGCGGATAGCTAAAGCTCAAATTCGTTATGCGGTATATTTTTCTAAATTGTAAAACTACTTGTGCCCATTAGTGTCTCCAACGCCTACGTGGTTACTTGAGCACAAAAAGTGTGTAAAGTTCCTCAGCGGTTTTTCACTAAAGGTGTAGGTTTTCACTAGTTTTCTGAATTTGCTGTTGAAAACAAACATTATCACGTGATAGAGCATAGCCGATAACCTATGTTTCGAGTTGGCGCCAAGGCTATTGGACTGAGATAAGTCGATTCCAGAAATGGCTGTAGATCCGGGAGATTGACAGCTAGGGATCTGGGACTTGTAGAAGACATTCGAAGCTATCTGACTTCAGTTACTTGAGTTGAAAACTACTTCTGCTTCGGTATCTAACGATCTCTTCTCCGTCTACTCGCTGTGTACACGGCCTGAAAATTCCATCCCGAAAGGCTACCACATATGAAAGGATGCAGTGAAGTCTTGTCTACAAGCGAGTGAAACCACAGGTCTGTATCAGTTTTTGTTCTTGAAACTTGAGGAAAACAACCAATGCCATTTTATTTCGAAATGGATAGTCACTATCCATAAGATACTTTTGCTTATTTCACAATGGGACAGTAGAAAAATGAGAATAGCGTTCTCCGATATATTACTATATTACATGCGTGAATTACGGTAGTTCCCATACCAGCGCTCGATCGTTCCCCTTCCGCCTAGTAAAAAACTATTTCATACCATAGGAACAGGAAGGTTTATTAAATCATCGGATAAGAGCTGAGCAGTTTAGGAGAGTAAATATAAGTTAGTTGTATGTGTTGCTACGACATCCATTTATACTGTATAACTTACTCTCGTTCCATCTTTTACATCTTTTAACGTTTCCTTTCTTATTGTGAGAAGGAAAGAAAACAACCTCTGATTGACTAATATACCAGAGAACGTGACTCCTCAGTTTTCTACTGTCCCATTGTGAAATAAACAAAAGTATTTTATTATCTTGTAATAAACGCAGAAGGTAAAGCAGTAATAAATAATCGAGAATATAAGAAATATAACACTGCTATGAAAATCATTTTGAACAAAACACTTTTATTCGTTTGCGAGCTTTCGATGTCTTTCTAGCATCATCTTCAGGCTGACTAAAATGGAACATTTAACACAGTTATATACAAAAAGACAAAGATGGCTGTTCTTTCTTATTTGTTCTTGAAAAGAAAAACCGTTCATTGAATTTTGAAAATGAATGTAGATCAAGTCAATGTTAGTTTCTTCGTTTCTTTATTTCTTTTTGCTATTCATATGTTCATCATATGTTCAAATGAACATATGAATAGATCCGGCCCGAAAACCTGTACTCAGAGAGTACAATATCATCCGAAAACTCGAAGTTGATCTTTAGTGTCATTAAATGCTTTTTCCGCACTGTTATGTGTCTACAAACTTTCCTTTATTATACGTTGCTTCCAGTTAGTTTCTAGAGTCATTGTTTCTACTTTATCAATATCTACTGTGTGATTATTGTCATTTACATGATCTAAAAAGATCTGTACGACAGATCTTTTTAATACGTTGTGAAAATATAAATGTTTCTGGGCTATAACATGGTAACACAAAAAATACTGTTTTTACTGTTTTCTGTTGTGGCTGCCGTGGTATCCGATGTTGGAAAACGTCGGATCCGGTAAGTTCCCAGCTGACGGATCCGCTTATCGGAATCCGATGGTATCCGACTGTCGGAAAACGTCGGAAATCAAAGGATATCGCTGGTTTCCGGCTATCGGCATCTCGTCGGATCTGACTGTTGGATTTTTTTCAATCTGATAGGACCCGACGAGGTAGTTTCGACCTGGATTTACTTTCTTAATTTTTCTCTTTATGATGTAGCATAGGAAAAGTAATATAACCCTCCCTTTTACAACGCGAAAAACAAAAAAGAAAGTTTTTCGACTTTCCATTCCTTTCTTTTCGGAAGGAAAGAGAAAATGCCACGCCTAGCTCAAACACAGAAAAGTGAATTAAGCAATGTGGTTGATGAATTATTAATGCATCAGTCATATTATCACCGCTGTGTCACCGAACACAAATGGTAAAGAAATAAACAAACAAGAAGCATCATTCATGTATTTCCAATTACTTGTCAATATTTTAGCTCGGTTCGCTCACAAAGACTCAACAAAACAAGAGCTGATCGATTTGTGTCGAATGGACTATGCAGGCAATAACAAAGAACTAAATGCTATCGATCAATTCCATAAAACGTACTCGAAAGAGCAAGCAATAGAGTGGTACACGAAAGACTGCTTTCTCTACCGAATGCTGAATAAAGCATTGCGAACACAAGACATTGACATGTTATTCAAGCTCGGCTTTTTCATCCATGACCTTCACGAGGAGCTTCGCAATCTGCAAAAGTCATCGACTACTCGTCTCGGAAGAACAATCACTGTTTATCGTGGACTAGGGATACCCAACACGGAGTTCGAAAGTTTACAAAAGAAAGTAGGAGGACTTTTATCGATGAACAGCTTCTTGTCAACAAGTGTTCAAGAAACCGTTGCTCTGCGCTTTGCTCGCAGCTCATTAGGCAGATCAGATACTATGACAGTTCTTTTTGAAATGGTGGTTGACACTGAGAAATGTAAACGTCACTATGGAAGCGAGAAATTTGAAAAAGCAATATTTGTTCAACGGTTTTCTAGAAGCCTTCGCAGAAAACCACAGAGTTCTCTAGAATCTTTTTTGTAGATTCTTCTATATGTAGAATGTAAAGCAGTTCAGATACTGTACCTCCTGAAGTTTTCAATTAGTTCTGCTGTATTTTGAGTGAGTTATGAATTTTTTAATATTAGCTGAAAACATCCGGAACATCGATGTAACTGGTCTAAAAAATGCTGACCGGATCGGTCATATATTTTCTTTTGGTTAGTCGAAACCATTTTTGACACCACCTCGAAGTCTATATCATTAGAATTGCAGATGAGATCTGGGACGCACGGACACCTACTTTCTGATTCAGAAACTCAGTAGTTCGAGCTCAAACTTTTACTGTAGATCGCGGGCAAAAACTGCTGCATTGTCCTGCCTGCAGGTGGACTGCTAGACACTAAGTCGGAGTATAACAATTTTTTTCTCAGTCTGTATTGCACACTGATAGTTATAGACTATTATCGGCGCCAAAATACAAGGCACTCAGTTGTTTTTCAAATAACTCCAAAACAATAAAAGATGGAGGCTTGCGGTTTTCCACAATCGAAAGAAAACACTTTACTCGCAAAACTGCTACCCAAAAATGGCGTTAAGATCGCTTTTCTACGGGATCTTTGGAAAACTAGGTCGCATTTCTGGAAACTGACATAGTAATCTATCGATTTTTTGCATAGAAAGAAAATATTTCGGGGACCGGAAAATTTTTACAGCTGTTCCCGATCGAGGGCTGGGAGACGGTACAAAGTTTGTCCCGAGATATTCTTAGCCTACATCCGAGCCTACAGATCTTATTTTAATTTACTAGTCTTATCATACTTTCGTACTTTTATATCTGTCACACTTATGCTC